GGCTCTACCCCCAGACCCCCAGAGTTAAAAGAGAACCCTTCGCTACGCATTCGGGAAAAAGCCTCCCCAATAAAAATACACCACGTCCGAAGCCTTAAGTGCTACTAAACTACCAACATGGCCGATTTTGGGGGTAGTTTCTTTTATGAGGCTCCAAAAACAACTGTAACTGCCCACACCTGTCCGCCCTGTGTATCCACCATGACACGCCGCGTTTACACCAGCAGGCTTTCCTTCCTCCAATGGCACGGACTTCACGCAAACGCACTTGCCACCGAGGTCGCGCAAAACCGCATGGCACAGCGACATCACCAATCGAAAGCTTTGGTTGTTAGTCTAATGACGAATTGGTATTCTAATAATGGTTTTGGTAGGGGAAAAGGAAGACCCTTTGATCTGGAGGTTTTTTGAACTTTTGGTACGAGTTTAATAGAGGATTATATATATATATATATATCTTTTTTGTTTTCTGGATATCTTTTTTCCCCACATCTTAGCGTGGGTTTCTTCTTTTCTATGTCTCACCCGCCTCCCGCCGCCTCCCGCCGCCCACTTCCCGCCGCCTCCGCCTCCTCCCTCCACACCGAGACAACACACACAGAGATCACACACACCGAGACAACACACATCACACACACACACACAGAGATCACACACACCAAGACAACACACACAGAGATCATCCTCCCTCCACACCGAGACAACACGTACAGAGACCACACACCGAGACAACACACACAGAGACAACACACACCGAGACGACACATACAGAGATCACACACACCGAGACAACACACACAGAGATCATGCGCAGATTGCGTGGCAGGCGCAGCACTTTGTGACAACACACACCGAGACGTCACCAGAATTCGTGGCAGGCGCAGCACTTTGTGAACCTCCATGCTCCGTTAAAGGCTCTGGCTGTTGCGTTGTCACAATCTCCTCCTTAGGAGGGAGGCGCCTAATCCATTAGGCCACACGAGCGACGATGCATTGGCTCTAAGGCTGGCCATGATGCGCACCAAGCATTGGCTCTAGGGCTGGCCATGGTGCACACCACGTGGCCAACTGCAGAAACACGCCCCTCAAAGAAGACTTGGATGCATACAACTCATCCCCAGCACTGCTCAAATGAATGGCGAATATCCAACCTGGAATGTGGCTTTGTCTCATATCCAGTCTTCAAGCCCCCTCCTACGGACCGGCGACCACCGCAGACAACCGCAGACAACCGCCGACAACGCAACAGCCAGAGCCTCTAACAGAGCATGGAGGTTCACAAAGTGCTGCGCCTGCCACGACTTCTGCACATGGAGGCTCACAAAAACGCTGCGCCTGCCACGAATTCTGCACGTCAAGAAACAAGTGAATACTCCAATCACAATGGAGGGACGGACCGGCGACCACCGCAGACAACCGCAGACACATGGTCTCTGTGTGTGTTGTCTCGGTGTGTGTGATCTCTTTGTGTGTGATCTCTATATGTGTTATCTCTCTGTGTGTGTGATCTCTGTATGTGTCGTCTCGGTGTGTGTTGTCTCTGTGTGTGTGTTGTCTCTGTCTTGGTGTGTGGTCTCTGTGTGTTGTCTCGGTGTGTGTGATCTCTGTGTGTTGTCTCGGTGTGTGTGTGTGTGTGTGTGATCTCTGGGTGTGTTGTGTGTGTTGTCTCTCTGTGTGTTGTCTCGGTGTGGAGGGAGGAGGCGGAGGCGGCGGGGGGCGGATCGGGAGGCGGATGAGACATAGAAAAGAAGAACCCACACAAAGATGTGGGGAGCAAATAGCACTGGCTGCAAACCCTATGCAGTGATACTGCGCAGACAATGCGTCCAAACAGCATTTAGAAAAGTCACAGAAACCGGCCTGGTAGATCCGACACACTTTCTGAAAACCTGCACGTCAGATCTCACTGGCTGCAAACCCTATGCAGTGAGACTGCGCAGAGAATGAATCCAAACAGCGTGTGTAAAAGTCACATACAGCGGCCTGGTAGATCCAGCACACTCTCTGCACCGAAGCTTGAGCACTCCGCGATTTAGTTCTGGTTTGAAACGTGATTCTAAACTGCAAAGCTTCTGAGACACTTGTGAAATCTAGCCATGTCACGCCGATCACGCAACAGCCCCTGCCACGAATTCTGCACATGGAGGTTCACAAAGTGCTACAGCCAGAGCCTCTAGTGGAGCATGGAGGTTCACAAAGTGCAGCGCCTGCCACGAATTCTGCGCGTCAAGAAACAAGTGAATACTCTAATCACAATGGAGGGACGGACCGGCGACCACCGCAGACAACCGCAGACAACCGCAGACAACGCAACAGCCAGAGCCTCTAACGGAGCATGGAGGTTCACAAAGTGCTGGTGCTGCGCCTGCCACGAATTCTGCGCGTCAAGAAACAAGTGAATACTCTAATCACAATGGAGGGACGGACCGGCGACCACGCCAGACAACCGCAGACAACCCAACAGCCAGAGCCTCTAACGGAGCATGAAGGTTCACAAAGTGCCGAAAAAAGATCCATCTCAACCCACAACATCTCCACCTCCACAGCTTCCGCTCCTCAACGCCCCAGAGCCACAATTGAGGTCGCCGCCTCCACTGGCCTCTCCATCTCAACGGCCCATCTGCTCCACGCCAACATGGATGAAAATACTCGAGGTGGGACTCGAGCCCTGCGGTTGTCTGCGGTCCCTCCATTGTGATTGGAGTATTCACTTGTTTCTTTCTTGACGTGCAGAGTTCGTGGCAGGCGCAGCACTTTGTGAGCCTCCATGCGCAGAAGGCGCAGCACTTTGTGAAGGGCATCTTCCCTCGAGGAGGCGGGGGGATAGTGTTTGCGTGTCAGGGGCTTGACAGGTAGTGGATCAGAAAGGGCTGTTGGCCTAATGGATAAGGCGTCGGCCTCCGGAGCCGGAGATTCCAGGTTCAAGTCCTGGGCAGCTCACTGTTTGTGCTCCCTTGATGCACAGGATGCTCTAGTGGTAACTCCGGCTTGCTGTGGCTTAAAATTCTGCAAGTGTGCTGTCGCGAGTGCTGCGCTTG